AGACTGACATCCTTCTAGTCTGAAATCGATCTTTTGAAGAACTTGCATGTAGGTGCTTCCGACTAAAGAAACTGTACAGGGCGCTTGAGCTGACGATGCTTGTAGCATGACAACATTGTCAAGTACATTGGCTTTGTCAAGTCGGCAGACTGCCTCAACATCATTCTCGAGTAGGTTGAGCTCTCATTTCATCCGAACATGGCTGACACATCGGCTCAGATACTGCGAGAATGGCTCTCTTCACTCAATATGCAAGTCATACGGCAAATTCCCCGAGAACTTGGTTGGCGTCTACACGACACAGGTCCTGCAGGGACTGCAGTATCTTCACGATCAGGGTGTTATCCACCGAGATATCAAGGGCGCCAATATTCTCACCACCAAGGACGGCAAGGTCAAGCTCGCCGACTTTGGAGTTTCGACAAGCACACTCGCAAGCGGGCAAGACAAGGAAGCACAGGTCGTTGGTACTCCCTATTGGATGGCACCAGAAATCATTCAACTTTCCGGCGCCAGTCCTGCGTCTGATATTTGGAGTGTTGGCTGCACGGTCATTGAGCTATTGCAGGGCAGGCCGCCATACCATAATCTTGCAGCTATGCCTGCGCTTTTTGCCATTGTCAATGATGACCATCCGCCATTGCCTGAGGGCATTTCACCGGTTTGCGCCCCGTGCCCCTATTCTCCGTCTGGGTTTGTATGACTAACACTATTTAGGCGTCCCGCGACTTTTTGATGCAGTGCTTCCAAAAAGATCCAAACCTAAGAGTCACGGCGCGAAAACTTTTACGACACGCGTGGATCATCGGATGCCGAAGAAGCGATGCCCCCGTTTCCAAGGCGCCAGCTAATTTCAGTCAAGCTGTGGAGGAAGTAAAACAGTGGAATAAGGCCCTCAAGTCGTCCGAAAGCTCACTTAGGGCGTCCACCGGTTCCGACAGCGGGGTTCCCGGGATGCAAGGTCATCCCGGGTCAAGATACAGCGCCAACGAACCGCTCCGACCGAGCCTGATCACTCAGCCCAAAGGACCTCTGGCCCTCGCGAAACCGAGACGAACACCTGAAGCCTTTAGGTCTCCGGAGCTTGCTGGTAAGTGTTCCTTTTATGCGGCTCAGTTCGATTGAGGATGACATATTGACTTGCTAGTAGATGACGACAACTGGGACAACGACTTCGCAACGGCCATCTCACCGAGCGCACTGCACTTACCTCACTTGAAGCCACAGGACAACTTTGGCGGGTTGCTCTCTGCAGATAAGCTCAAGGCATTTGCTTCGCTCACGGATGCTCGCAACGACTCTGAGAGTTACGATGACGACTTTGAAGGAGAATTGTTGACTATCAAGGGGCCGAGGCAATTCACAGATTTCGAATTCCAGGAACAGACACTCCGTCCGACGCCTCGTAAGAAGAGCGACAAGTTCCCAGAGCCGATGAAGCAGCAATCGCCGTCCAAGCCAAGTCCGCGAAAGGCTGGCCATGCGAGAAACCCGTCTCGTCCCAAGTCCCCTGTCAAGCCGCAGCTAGGCCCCAGCAAGTTTGAGATACCAGCTCCCCCAGACCTGGCATTCAGGGAACAGAACACAGAAGACTACTCGGATTTGTTCATGGAAAACGATTTCAACGATGGTGGACTAAACCCTTTCATCAAAAAGGTCGATTCTCCTCAACTATTTCATCCTTCAGATCTCACGAGCTTGCCTCGTTCGACACAATCACCCGTCCCGGGAAGCTCGAGACGGCCGCCTAGCGCGAAGTTGCGGCCTTCGGTTTTGCCAGATCGGCCCATGCGAAGGACGAGATCATCGATTGAGATTCAAAAATTTGCCGAGGACGAAGGCGACGAAGATTTCTCCGACATTTTCGGGCCGGAGGATGCAGTCACAGAGAGGGAGGAGAGTGATCGGGGATCGGAAGATGGCGGCCTTATGGTGTTGTCCAAGTATTCCAACAACTCGTGGCTCGGGGACGACGAGGATGAGGATGACCCGTTTGCCTCAATGGACCCAGGGTGGGACGAAATGGACCTGGAAGCAAATATCGCCAGGGACAGACACGCCAGGCTAGCAGGCAAGGTGGAAGAGCTTGTACGGTCATTGAAAACGTCGGAAGGCGAGGAAAAACTGTGCGAGCTGGCTGAAGACTTGGTAAGTCTCACGTGTTTGCATACAGGAGGCGTTTTACTGACGTGGGTAGCTGGCTCTGCTGTGGGAGAACACCGAGATCAAAGATCTCATCCTTAGCGCTCACGGCCTGTTACCGATTTTGGAGCTTCTCGAGCCGTGTACAGTTAAGAGCAGGCAGCAGATGATTCTGTCTCTCTTGAAGGTCGTCAACACTGTACGTAGCTTACTCCTTGCGATATGAGTTGGTGTGGTTCTAATGCGTTGACAGCTTATTTTGGACGATGTCGAGATCCAGGAAAATCTCTGCTTCGTTGGTGGCATTCCAATCATCACCAAATTCTCGGCCCGCCAATACTCCAACGAAATTAGACTGGAAGCGGCAGCTTTTGTTCGGCAAATGTACCAGACGTCCACTCTGACCTTGCAAATGTTCGTCAGCGCTGGTGGTTTGAATGTCCTAGTCGAATTCCTCGACGAAGATTTTGACGATGCTCGGGATCTCGTCTTGATTGGCGTCAATGGCATCTGGAACGTCTTTGAACTTCAGGGCCCAACACCGAAGAACGACTTTTGCAGAATCTTCTCGAGAAGCAAGATTCTCTACCCTCTTGCTCTGGTGCTCCACCGAGTCCTCGACGAGGAGGGAGAAGACGAGCTTTCCGAACTGATAGAGGGCCGGATCGTCAACATCTTTTACCTATTTTCTCAGGCTGAGAATTACGTCAAGGAAGTTGTCGCGGATCGACAAGTGTTGAAGAGTAAGTCTCGTATCAGGTACAGCGATGTCATTTACTGATAACTTCACAGGCGTCCTGAAGGATTTGCGACGAATGACACCAAATCACCAGATTACGATGCTCAAATTCATCAAGAACCTTTCCATGCTGTCTACGACGATAGAAACGCTGCACACAGCTGACGCCATCGAGTTTTTGATTGATGTTCTTGGCTATAGCATGAAGAAGGGACACCAGCACTTCCGAGAGATCTCCAACCAGGTCCTGAACACCCTGTTCAACCTCTGCCGTCTGAGCAAGGAGCGACAGGAGGACGCTGCTGTTGGTGGAATTATCCCGTTGCTGATGAAGATTATGAACACCGATCGTCCTCCAAAGGAGTTCGCATTGCCCATACTGTGCGACATGGCCCACTCGGGAAGCAAGGGTCGCAGATACCTCTGGCAGAATAAGGGACTGGACTTTTACGTCTCGCTGTTGGCCGACCAATACTGGCAGGTCACAGCGCTGGACGCTATTTTTATCTGGCTTCAGGAAGAAACGGCAAAGGTCGAGAGTCACTTGCTCGACGGCAAGTTTACAGATGCAATCGTTGCCTGCTTCCACACTAACAAGCTCAACTCTTTTGACGCCAACCTACTGGAGCCCCTGTTGAAGCTCCTGCGCTTGAGTCCTTCAATATCAGGCTCACTAGCCAAGCCGGAAATGTTTGCCGGCATCGGCCAAAGACTAGGCCACAAAAAGGCCGTCGTACGGTTGAATCTACTCCGTCTAGTCCGCAACATTATGGACGCATGCGAGCCGGAGATGCTGGGCATGGGCAACGGAAGCAGCTCCTTGAACGTCAAGCAAGTCAGGTCTCTGTTTGATACGATCCAAATGCTGGCGGACAAGGACACTGCTGTGCTGGTTCGCAACCTCGCGTCTGAACTTGTCAAGTCGCACAACGAGAGCGAGCTTTATGATATGCCCTCAGAGAGGAAGGGCTCTTCTGGATCGGTAGCGTCCCGACGCTCGGGATCCGGACCTAGACGGAAATCGTCCTATACTCCGCCCGGACTTCACCATGCCATGTCGATGCCCGCCACACCGACACAGTCACAGTCTCGCCATCATCGGCTTTCACAAATACCACCAGGGTCAGGAGGCGCGTATATTGAGGTCGCCGCTAGCCCACGGAGGACTGCTGTTCAGGAGCGCGAGGCCATCTTATACCGCCCCCGTAGCAGAGATGGTGTCACGAGCATCCCCAGGCGGGTAAGCGGCGAGATGTCGTCAAGCATGCCTACCGGGCCGTCCTCGGGCAAGAGCAGGTTGCCTCGCCACTCATTTGCGAGACCCAGCAGCGCATCTGGGCAGCCTCCTTTAATAAGATCCGAGAGCTCTCTGTCGAATAAGGAGAACGTCAGCAGAAACACGTCCGCCGTGTTAGCTCCCGCTGCGTCACCTGTCCTGCCAACAAGCATGGCCAACAAGCGGCGAAGCAGAGCTCCAAGTTCGGACGTCAAATGGTCGTCATAGTCGAGGCCATAACATCGCAGCCATGACCAGGCTGTACTTTCATTTTTTACTTTTTTTCTTCTTTTCCTGTTTTGCATGTGCGAGTTGTCGACTCGCAGGGCTTGGGCAAATGATACCTCGTGGGTATACACACGGCTGGGCTGGGATGGGTGAGAAGGAGGCATGAGTTTATAACGTTGCACACTTTTTTCTTTTTTTGATATGAGATGAGGGCTGCTATGAGTCTTTTCATGTTGAAGCAGGGAGGAGAGAGGAGACACGAAGCGAAAAAGGGGCTCACGCTGAAGATTCCCTGTGTAAACGTTGGGTTTGACGGAGGAAGTAAAAAGTCCTCTGGTACTCTGGGAGGGAACAAAATCTTTTGTCTTTTTTCTTGCAACTCGGATCATGAGAGGGAGCTTGTTTTTTTTGGGCTCCCTGCGATAGCGGATGGCATTAGAAACAAATTCATGGCAAGCAATTGCACCCCCTATCTAATGGCTACGGCCGCCCCAAAGTTTTCCCCGTGTCTGGTCCTATCATGTTGTGGCTCCAGTCAGTCTCTTGTCTTGCTCATTCATGATGAGATCATCCCGTAGAAACCAACAACCCCCACCATCATCGAAAGACGTGACTGACCATATCTCCCGAAAGGAACCTCGAGAGGGGTTTCTTACACAAGCCACGCATCACCGCCCAGAACCTCACTCCACACCTGTCCCTCGGCTCTCGCGAACCCCTTTACGTCCTCGACGTCGGCGGCGCCAAAGTTTCGTCCGTAGAGATGGGGGAAGGCGGAGGGGAAGGTGCCGGAGGGGGGAAATTCCCATTTCGTTGAGGAGGCGAGGGGCGCGTAGGGGAGTTTGAGGAGGTGTAGGGTTGTGGAGGTTGCGAAGAAGAGGTTTGCTGTGTTGAGGACCTGTTTTTGAATGTGAGTAGGTTGAGGGAGTTTGAGGAGGGGATGGAGGGGGATTGGGTGGGAGGAATGGTAAAAGGGGGTTGGTTGTAAGGATTTGAATGAAGGCATGTTGTATGATTTTTGGTTATGAGGAATGAGGATGGAAGGCGATGAGTGTGGAAGGGTTAACTTCCGACGCCGAGTGAGGCCTGGAGAGTGAGTGTTGGGCAAGAGGGAGGATGGATAAGAAGAATAAGAGACAGGAAGAGAGAGAGAGAGAGGGAAGAAAGGGGGAGGAAATAGAGAGCATCATAGAATAAAGAAGAAGAAGGAAAGAATTCATACCTGCTTCGCCGTGCTCAAGTGAATAAAGCCATCGTTACGATCGAGGTCCGAGAGGGGGAACTCAGTCGGCAGCGGCGACGGCGGCGCCTCGGGGACAATTTTGTAAATGTATTGCGGCTTTTGCGTCGGTTCGGCCATTATTGCGTTTATTTACAGGAGTATCTTTGTAGTCCTGAAAGGGGTGCTGGATGAATGTCTATTGACTGATGATGCTGTGTGTGTGGGAGAGGATGTCGACTTCTGAGTGGTTTTGTGCAAACCTATTTACTTATTTCATCATCCCACCTCCTCCCGTAAGAAGTTCGATAAACCCCCACTTTCCTCTTCTGGAAGACCTGAGCTCCGGCGGGCTTACACCAGGGGGGAATCGGAGGCATTTTCATCTCACATTAAGCACCGAGCGAATAAACACCACAAATCGTCATCAATGGTTTTTTATTGTTACAGAGACCTCCCGGTCCGTGTGTCCTATCTCATTGATCCCTCCCACAACCTTTAAACCCCCATACCTTTTTTCGTACTCCGGGACGAATAACCACGCCCCAAAGACAAGAAACCGACCGCTCCCCCCTTCACCGCGCCTCGCCCCTACTCACTCACACCTCCTAGCTTGGATCACTAACTGTCGTAAAGAAGCATCTACAGAATTTTGTAGATGACTAGTAAACTTTTGCCTTTTTCCCCCCCTCTCTCTCTCCCTCCAACCATCCCACAGATGCTGAAATACCGCTTCGAGTGTGTAGTCAAATTAGATTTGAGACAACCATAACACCAACAGCCGTATCCTCTCTGTTCACTCACTTCCTCTCCTTTTTTTCTACTTCGTAGACTTCAAACTCTTGCTTGATATGGCTCAGTCTGCGCCTTTTGAAGCAGGTCACCGCCTTTCGTGCTCATCCCCACGCGCGCCTATCGACGCGACGGTTTCGGTTGAATGTTGGGACCCCAGACTACCCTTTCATCGGTCAGACTCGCTGGTAGAATAGCAGGTAGGCAACCTTGTTGTCCTTGATGTTATCCTTGGCCGGCTTGCCCTTGGAGGCGGTGCCATTGCCGTTGGCGACGGCGCTCCACTTCTTCTCGCCGCCCTTGTCACCACCCTTGGCGGAGGTGGTGACCTCCTTCCAATCGTCGTCCTCGTCGTCGTCTGCCATGGCACCGAACCGGTTGGTCGACGCATCACGCGAGGCAGGACCCGATCGGCCGGTGTCCTTGGCATCCTCCTCCGCGCCGGCTTCGGCCACGTCCTCGCTGCGGACACGCCGAATGATCGTATCATCCAGGCGGATCCACTCGTTTTCGTCTTGCCTTCGCACGTCAACGGTGTAGTGACCACCGTTGGCTTGCTTGCCGTGGTGGTAGACGACACCGATGAGCCTGTACTTGGGCATGCCGGCACCCTCAGAGACAAGAGCGTTGCGTCGTCTCTTTGAAAGAACTTCCGCCGGAAGCTGCAAGTCGAGAGGGTATCCGACCTTTTTGCCAATCTTGGTCGTTCCTTCGGTGTCAAACTTGAAGCGCTTCAAGTGAAGGATGAGAATCGGCGGCAGAGTCTCAATCAGGGTTTGCTTAGTCATGGGGGCAGCATCGCCTTGAAGTCTCTCAGGTACCGTCAGGCCCTTTATCGCGTCGACAACGTTGTGAATGTACGGAGCACCAATGTCCAGCTGAAGAGATTGGAAAGGCTCGGTGGTCACCGAATCCTTCACACCGGGACGGCGAAGCTCTGATCGATACTGTCCACTGAACAACCGAGTGATGGGCGTCGTCGAGCTGGCCCCGGAGGAGCGCGTCTCGACTGCTCTCTGTCTGGACCCAACCTCAAACCATCCATCTGCGCCATCGTTTGACTCAACAACGCTGGCGGCGGAGGATGTAGGCCGGGTTTCGGCGGCCCCGTTGGTAGAGCCACTCGTTGACATTACCTGGGCGCATTCTTCGTCGATGGCGTTGAGAATCAAACCCAGGAACTCCTGAGCGTCTTGCTGGTGTCCACGCTACAGAAAAAGGTAAGCGACATGCAAAAAAATGAGTTATGGAATAACATACTCTCATGCTGGCAAACGCCGGGAGAGGCTGGATGGCCTTGTATACAAACTCGGGAATGAACGAGTCGCCGTATTGCTCCAGCTGCTCGCTCTTAAGCTTCCGGCGCAGTTTCTCGACTGTTTCAGTCGAGTCGATGACCCGGAACTCCCTCATAAACATAATCATGGCATCTATGACGGGCGTGTCGCTCTTGAACTTATGTACAGCCTTCTTGCTGACCTGATCCAAAAAGTTGAAGAATGGTGCGCAGAAGAGAAGAACTTGCAAGACCTAATCTGGAGTTAGCACAATGCATGGCTATATGGGCACAGGATACTAACTGAATTCATGTAGCACATATTGCCTGTGTTGATCAGGCCTCTCGGCTCGATGAACTGGACCTTGGCAGCATTGCTAACGCGGAAGTCCTGGATGGCAGATGCGAGGGAGTTCGTGTTTCCTGCTGAGAACGCGGGTGCGCTACCGTTGATAACACCATCGCCATTCGTCGAGGCACCATTGGCCATCGCCGGAGCAGCAGGGCCGTTGGTAGTGGGCTGCGCCTTGGGAGCAGCTGCCGCGGCGGCTGCGGAGAACAGTCCACTCCATGACTTCGGCGCCGCCTTGGCGGGAGCTGCCGGGGGAGCCTTGACCTTCTCTTGCTCCGCACCAGCAACTTCCGTGCCCTCCGCTGCTTCAGTAGGCTTCGCCTCCTGAGATGCTGCTTGCTTGGGCTCTTCTGCGGGCTGGCTGATGCTTGCTGCCTTAGCTTCCTTGGGGCTGCTTTTCGGGAGAGCTGGAACAACTGGGACGACAGGAACGGCAGGCCGGGACGCCGACGCGTTGGAGTTGCTTGTGGTGGGTCTGGCACTGTCTTTGGGAACCTCAGATGCCGGCACATTCACCTTCGGGCTACCCATGTTCGAGACGCTAGTTGCCGACCTGTTACTCTCCTTAGGAGTTTCAGACGTCAGGGAGTCTGCTCTCAGGGTCGCGCTCTCAGAGTCGGTGTCCTTGGAGCTCCAGGGCGCCGCCTTTTTGGAATCGGTCTTCGCTTGGGAGCTGTCTTCCGCGCCGCTTTTGGTGGCCGACTCAAGAGCGCCCTCGTGCTGCTCCACAGGCAGTGTCAGATTCTGAGCATTCGCGCTCATCAATCTTCTTCGTCGTCTTGACTTGGGAGCCCTTCTAGGGAACGGCGCCTGTTCGGGCGGTGTCCAAGGGAGCTTTCTTTGCTTAGCTACGAAGCCAACATGACTAGGATATGATCGACTTACTGGTGCGCGGAATTCCTTTACGTCTTTGGGAAGCTCTGGACTCTGAGGAGCGGGGGCAGGGGTAGGGGCAGGGGCAGGGTGCGCCGCTGCCGGGTGGAATGGCTCAGCGAAAGGCGTGACAACTGATGAGGATACGACCGAGGACACTACAGAAGGTGTGACGACTGAAGGCTCTGGCGTAGGTTCAACGTGTGGAGGCGGGGGCGGAGGCGGCGACTGAACAGGGTTGGCAGCAGGTACAGGAGGCGGGTGATACGGCGTTGACAGAGCAGGCGATGGTTGCGAATACGGCTGTTGAACGCTCACGCCGGCCATGGGGACATATTGAGGTTGAGGCATTGCCTGTGGTGACCGCACGTAGGGCTGCTGTTGCTGATAGTGCATGTAGCCAGAGGGCATGCCTCCGTTCTGATATTGATGCGGCAGCTGATGGTAGTACGGCGTCGGCTGAGCGTAGGGGTTCATGTAGTTTGGATACATGGGTTGCTGCTGATACTGTTGATACTGCTGGTATTGCGCATACGTCGGTTGTTGCTGCATCCTCCGTCTGTTGCCTCCTCCGGGTCCACCACCCATATCGACTCCTCCTCCTGGCCCTCCGCCCCCCGGCATGGCTTGCCCAGCCGGCAGATGACGATTGTTCATCCTGCCGGCTTGGGAGTCGTGTATTTGCAGTGATCGTCCACGGCTGGAACTATCACTGCCTTGAATCTGCAGCTTCCTTCAACACGGTTGTCGGCGCGTGCGCAATGGAGCGTCGACAAATTGGTCGGAGGTCGGTTCGTGTATCGAGTATTAGGGTGTTTGATCGTGTGGGACGCACGAAGGTAATATTTCCAAACGCCTTCAGTCGTGCGTCGCTCTCGTGAGGGTTGCGGGGAACCGTTGGGAAGAAAATGGGCCCGACTTTAAGTATTGCGAATGAGCGAAGGGGGGAAGAAATAAAGTGAACAAGTCGCTCGCCACAGGTGATTAATCGCGCAGAGACGGAGGGACGAGCTGCGATGAAAGGCAGCAACGGTGAAGGGTCGAAGACTGGGACGGGGCGACGGCTACGAAGTTAGCTGTGCGGTTGCTTCCAATGGAGATGACAAAAAATTAAGCCGCGCGCGGGAGAGGTAGAACCGTAAACCTGGAGCTAGCGGGCAGCGGGCTCCGGGCTTTGTTGGCGCAATGCGATTGCCTGAGCCGAAGCCTCGCGCACAGATCACTATTCGATCATCGCAGGCTTGGATTGGCTCTCTTCTTCCGCAATTTGCCCGAAATCGGCCCCACTATAGCTGGCTTGACCGGTGAACACCTTCGAGCCTCGAGGTGAGCTCGGTGAAGCTTGATGAGCCCACCTGCTTGGCTTCTCACAGGTATTCCGAAAGGGATTACCATTACATGATACCTATATTTCTGGCATTCTGCTCACGGATATTGCAACAAGCTCCAGCGTGCCCCGTAGCACTGTGCTAAGTCAAGACCTCGTCTCGCTAAGACAGCATTCACTCTTCCGTGCCAGGACGGAACTCGAGGGCTTTGCGGCCTTTGAGTGATCCATAGCTCGAGTCTGCACAAAAGCTTTGCGACTTCTTACTGGTATTGGGGCCTGCAGAATCCTAGTCACTCACCCCTCAATATGAAGCGCATGCCAGCTCGGCCTTGACTCTATCTAGTTGGAAGTCTTGCTACGACAACCCAGTCTATACCTAGACCATCAATATCTGCTGTTGGAACCAAAACGCTCCTATGCACCTCGCTAAGAGCCCGTCTTCGACAGCTACCTCACTCATCCTTGAAAATCCAGCGTCCTCCTCCTCTCATCGCTTCCCGGTACCGTTCTTGGACCATCTGCTTCTCCCTCTTCTCGCCTTCTGCCCTCTCAGCCTCATCCTCCTGCGTAGTAGGGAAATCCGCGTTCCAGAATCCCGGAGGAGATGGCCTTCGAGCATAACTGTGACGATGTTTGCCCAACTCATTCGCAAGCTGCCATGTTTTGGCCTCTATCCACAAGTCTTCTTTCTCCACCTTGGACATCCCCAAAATGATGGTGATTCTGTCACCGAGATAATCCTCAAACAATTTGGTGTCTGCTGCCGGAGTTCGCTCGACGTTGTTCTTCTGGGCTAAAGCCATGGCGCGGAATTGTGGACCACAGCAATTCATGTCTGTACAGCCAGGCAAGCAGGCTCTGTCGTCTCTGTTCCTGACCACCTCTGAGAATGCATAGTCGGAACCGCCGTTGAACTTCGGGTTGACCTTGAAGTCCTCGAGCCGCAGAGATGAGGCGGGCTTTGATCTTAGTGACCCCTTCTGGGATGACAGCTGTGCCCCAACCGTCGCACGATTTCGGGACTGCCCGCGGGTTGTGGCAGGCTCCGTGTTCTCTTCGTGCTCCCTTCGATTGACGGGGGCTCCTATCGAAAACTTCTCCCGGCGCTCCTTATTGAATGGCAATTCCCGACGCTCAGGGAATTGAGGTCCCTCCTCCGCCATTCGCCCTGTATCCCGGAGACGAGGTGCTGATCGTACTATGGCAGGAGCCTGCTCAGGAGACGGTGCATTTAACAGCGTGCTCAAGCGACCGGGAGGTTGCGGAGTGCGGAAAAGCCCTGCCGGCTCTCCACGACCTGTTTTATCATAAACAACTCCGTCCTCGGCTAGACTTCTTATGCCTTGGGCGAGTCCTTTCCTTGTTGGCTTCTCCGCGGTGTTGAACTCATACGGGCGCACCGGACGAGCGTTAGGATTGACCGGTGTCAGCACTGCTGTTGAATTGGATATCCTGGCTGTGGGGGTGTTGGTGTCGTCCGGCCTGACAAAGACAGGTGCGGCCGTCTGAGCTCTCTCCATGTCAAGTTGACCAGGCGTGGCCAGGGCATCGGCCAATAACCTATTCTTCCGTGGCGTGCTTAGTCTCTGACCGACCTCATCTAGATCCATACTTTCTTGCTGAAGCTGGCTGGTCGCAGGGTCCGTAGCAAGATTCGAGCTCTCTATCTTTATCCTGCGTCGTCCTTGTTGTTGCAAGGAGGAATCAGCGTGCTTTCTCTTGCCCACAAGGCGCTCGGAGACGACAACAGGACCGTCGGAGGAGGGCTCTGGTTTGATGCGAATGTCTGAATCCGTTTTGGCGGTCTGTCTCAACGGCGGAAGAGTGACAGCATCGGCCTCCTTACTGCCCTCAGTCGTCTCTCCCTCCGTCGAGTCTGAGGCAGGCAGATCCTGCGTCTCTACACCATCTGACTGTACGGGGGCTCTGTCGGCAGAAGATTGTCGCAAGGCCCCCGAGTTGCTGGGTGTCGTTAAGATACCAATTTCGGGATCAAGCGTCAACCTCGAAGTCAAGTGAGCGCGCGGCCTACTTTGTTCTGGAAGGGCTTCTGTTGTGTACGCCGCGGCATCAGTGCCATCATCACGTTGCTCCAGAAAGCTGATCTTGGCCTCCAATTCTGTCGCATAGTCTTCCCATCTCTTGATCTCCTCCTTCCTCTCGTCCCTTCTCTTGTTGAACTCTGCTTTCAGGATTCTGAAGTTCTGATCCAGAGCAGTGTATTTCCGGCGTAGCTTGTGGCTCTCCCTTAGAACATTCTCTAGATCGCCTCCACTTCCAGAAGCCTCTGCAGACGCAATGTCTGTGTTGGTGGCTTGGTCGCTGGTCACATAACTCGGCCGAGGGCTCCCTCGAGATGACTCGACGGATCGATTTTGCTGATGGATTTGGAGGAGTTTCGTCCTAAGCTTTCGGTTTTCCTCCTCCAACCGATCAACTTCGTTAGAGCGAGATCTCAATATTTCAAGCTCTTCTGTGAGAAATTCGCGTGATCGATCGCCCTCCTTAAGCCTCTGCTCGATCTCTGTTGAGAAGCTAGTATCACAATATCATTACGTCAGGGTATCTACGAGCACATACCGTTATCCAGTTGCTTGCTCACTGTTTCACGCAATGCTTCGAAAGCATCTTGAATTGCTGCCCGACCTTCTGGCGACAAGTTCTCCATGATTTACGACAGCAGTTCTACTAGGATACATGGAAGTCTGCTTGTGGTTGTGTGGATGTCAGTTGAAGCTGGGTTTCACGTGGGTGCGTGTGACGCCAAATTAAGACGCGCCTTCCCTGAAGCGCGTCGTGCCAAGACATTATCAGATTGATCTACGCGCCACACTCTGGTCTGTGCGACTGTGGCTGATTCACCCCAACCAGCCACTTCTCAACTTACCGCGCTCTTCCTTCAGCCACCTAACAGCAGCTTGCTCTGCTCCAACACCATTTTATGCAGAGCTCCTCGACGAGTGTTTCTGCATCTCGATTCCGAAATGCACCCTATCATGCAATTTTCCGAGTTCCGGAAGCCCTATTTTCTACTTCCTATAACCTCGCAGCTCCCGATATCACTGCAACTTCGGGACGACCCAAGTACGAAGGCCGGCGGTCTGATTCCTTGCACAAACCTTGCAATGGAGACTGCATCGGAGCCACTGCCGCAGTGAGAAGACCTTGGGCGGGGCGCAGGATGGAAATGCAGAGCAACATGCCTTCGATCAATTGGTACGGCTAGAATGACTTGTGATACGGATACTGGTGGGCCTGCACGGCTACTCCGATATATCTACGGATACTTCCAAACGTTTCAAGGCTAATAAGATTGAAGGTGAAGACACTTTCTGGTCAGTGGGCCCCCCGAAGTTCCCCACGGACTACGGTCGTCCGGCCCGGCAGCTCTTCAACGGTCGCCAACCCCAGCGAATGATCGTCATGGTAGACTACAACATGGATTGATTCGTCGACCACAAAGATGTCTTGTTTCTGACTCTGCAAGAGCTCGGTTGAAGCTCAAATTGGCAATGCCGGGCTTCACATATCTCTCGCCCCTCGACCTTGCATACTCGCGGGAACACCGGATCACTGATCAATCTGATGACCACAAAGCGCCACGTTTGCAATACCTGACTTATGGGAAAACGACATATCACAGACGAGGCCAGACGCACCACCTATCTCGGGTTGAGAACACTTGCGGGATCTTGGGCAAAGACATCTGGTGCTCAGCCTGGCTTTCGCGCTGTATTGACTAGGGACGGCCCAGAATTGCTCTCAATACCACACACAGGAACGCAAAGCCAAGCTTGGAAAAGCATATCGCACGTGGCCAGCGACTCTCCATGCACGGCCTAGTTAACAACTTAACATGCTTGGTGTTCTGCGACTGACAGAAGCTACAAATACTTACTAGCAGCCCACAACATCTCTCGCACCCGATACCTATTTGGCTACAGCAATTAGCGGGACTCTCAACGCCTGTCAATGCCACGTCTCCGCTCGAGAGATATGTGGCAGACAATCTAGCGGACAAATGCCGGTATCCATGAGCAGGCCCCATTGCTGGTCTCCGCGCCGCCCCTATGACTTACGGGCTCTCCTGCATACTGCTGCGGTGGTTTGTGGTTACTTGCCGTTCTAGCGTCTTGGGTCGCAGGTGCGGCCTCGAAGAGGCCAGTGGTCCGGTAGAGACTCCACACAAGTCGCATTCGAAAATGCTTCACATTTGCAGAGATACAGTGGTGCCGTCATGTTTTCCCGGCGTCCGCCCATGGAGCTGATTCGGGCAGGTCGCGACCATCGCCGCTTCATTTCTCGGGTGACAGGTCTGCGCACTATGCGCCTGGAGCCCACGAGGTCCACGAGGAAGCCCGTCTGCTGCGTCGCAGCGGTTGGACACAAACCGCAGTTAACGATACCTAGCTTGTAGCTGCAGCAGACATGGGTTTAGTTGCACGGTGCACCCATTTCGTTGCGCGTTTGTTGCGTAATGGCTGGCTAAGCGAGAGAACATTCGATGGAATATCGTTGCCAACCAACAATTGCGGCGACAACGGGCACAAGCGAAGACGGTCGAATTGAACGTCGTGCGGAAGACCAGTACGAACGGGTAGGCCAGGACATGTTTCTTGGCAGTTGTGCAAGCGTCGCGGATAAGGGAAGGGTTGCCGGCGTAGCAAAGTACGAAGCGAAGTGGCTGTCGGTTGAAATGGGTGACCGGGTTCATCCGGTCTACGTGACTTCACAGGCCCGGGCGAAAAGCTTACCACCAACCTGAAAGGGAAGACTGGCCGAGATTGAACGCGGCAGATCTGACTGGACCGGAAGTGCATCTCGATGGAAAGAACCAATCCTCTGCTCTGGTTCGCTTGGATGGCATGGCTAAATGCGTTTCCGAAACTCGAGAATGGAATGAAAGTCGTGGGATTTGTGCGTTTATTCCTCCAGTGAGGTATCACGAAATGGGTTCCGAGGTGAGTAGGGGGGTGGAAAGGACGGAGCCGATGATCAAGGCTTTTTGTTCTTTTGGTCCTCTCTCTTCCGTGAATGGGGTTTGCCTTTTGATGAGGGGACGCTGCCGATCTGGAGGGGCCGTCCAAGCTTCGGTTCGGTTTAAACCTACTCTGATGGCATCTCCGACAGGGCTGTTTATCAGCCTGTGCCCTGGAGGCTAGAGCAGCGACAGGGCAACAGTCGAGGCAGATGGTTCTTGATTCGAAGGAAAGAGCTACGAAGAGACACCATGACACGGGAAGCTTTCTGAGGAGCATCTTCGAGTTTCGGTATTCCGCCAATGATCTGCAGCGGGCTTACGAGCTTCTTGAAGCTAAAGCTGGAGCTAGAATCACGCACACACCACTGACACCAGCAGTGCGAAGAGACCACAGTGAGGCATGTGTCATCCCACAGACGCACACCCAGCAACACCAACGAGTGGCCAGGCCGGGATCGCGGGGTACGAAACTGAGGCAGATGTAGCCGAGACTGCCCAGCACAGGGTTAACAATACGCGGACTAGGGGCATGCAAAGAGTGCTCATACGGTGTAACCTCAGGTTGATTATTCAGACATTACATGGACAGCCAGGACATCCTACAGGCTACGGCTCGAAGCAGCACTTACCAGCGACGACTTCACACTCGAGGACAAGATGAGCCTTGCCTGATGGACGACACAGTGTGAGCCAGCGTATCCGCAGTGTGCGAGATTCCCCCCTCTTCCATTCTCAGGCTCTGCAGGCTGTAGAGTGCAGGCTGCATGAGAGGGGCAGGAGCTGTGGCAGTCTGGCAGAGGCAGAGGCTTGTGAGACGGGAAACTTATCAGAGCCCACTCATCGGGTGAGGTGGGAGCGTGAGTGAGAGACCACTGAGATGGAGAGCCTGAGAGGAGCATGAGCATGAGCAGCCCCTCATCACACCTCACCCTCCTTGAATGTCAGGACAGGGAGAGATGCAAGGGACGGGAGCACAGTGGCACGAAATCAAGGATTTCCGACCCCTCGTAGGGATGGAAGGGGTTTAGCGAGGTTTGGGGCATCGGATTTCACAGTGCCTTGGGGCCTTTGGGTAACTTGGGGCCGGGCCTGGCCTGCCATTTTGGCCTGCCAATGCTGCCATTTGACCTGCCTCTCGGCGATTTTTAGAATCTTACCCAGGGGTACCCCACCTACCTGCCTTCGACATGCTGAATTTTCTGATTGGTATTTTTGTTTTCCCCATGGCAGAAAAAAAAAAAGTGTCGAAAAAAAAAAATTGGAGGGGCAAAAGTGAAATACGGACTGCGCGAGGACAGCGACGGATGGTGGGGGGGAGGGGGGGGGGGGGGGGGGTCTCACGATTAACTCTAGCAATTCACTTCATTCGATCGACTCAAGCAAGACTGGAAGTAAGTAAAGGAAGGCACTTTACTTTTACCGTGACCAACCCGGTCTGGAGCATCGACGATGGAAACTTGAATTTGTAGAGTCACCTGCCTTTGAGTTCACCGTCCCTGGAGTTTACGAAGAAACGGGCTCGAACCAAGCTATTCCATTGCCCCCCGACGGCTTCTTCTCCGTTCCTCTTGGGCTCTTTCCCCCCCATCGGAAATGTTAGAGTTTTGTGTCCCGTCCTGTTCGGCCTTATTGGAAGGTTCTTTAGGCTATCAAGAAACCTGAGCTTCAAGTGTCTTCATCTCGACTTCTTGAACCTTCATCGTCATGGGGGGGCAGCACCCAAGTCTCCAGGGAATACCTACGTAATGTGGTATGAATTTGACCATAGCCCTTGATGGCAAGCCCGGGTTGCTTCCCGACGCTGCATTGGTGAGGCAAACTAATAGCTGGTGCCCCCTTTTGCCTAGCCTGATTATGCCCAAAGGCGTTCCAACTGTGTCATTGTGCCCTATTATCTGAAGCTGACAGACGGCACAATCTCATCTTCGGCTATGGGAAAAAGGTGCCGGCGTGTGTGGGGCATTGGAGGCTAGGTTATTGGAGCTGTAGGCTGTAGCTAGGCACAAGCACAGAACAAGGCAGGCCAGCCACGATCATAGGTGTGTGAGGGGAACGGGAGATAAACAGGCACCTAGTTGGAATACCTACTCGACTGAGATGTGAGGCCGGTAAGGTATGTCACAATCATATTGACAGGCAGTGATATAGGTGTGTCTGGTCTTGTAAGACGGACAAATAAGCCGGTCAGATTTATATAACGCTAGTAATGACAACATTCAAGGGCATCAGCTGAAGAGTACTATGGCAAAGTGTACTGAGAGTTGAAGTGAGGTGAAAACCAACTGTGTCAATCCGCCATACACACGCACACGCACACGCACACACACTCATCATCATGGGCACTTCCCGTCACCAAGTTACAATCAAAACACAAATGCCGCCTGCCCGGCCCCAAGCCAGAAAGCCCAAGGAAAGGCCAGAAGGGGCATCCAGAGACGGGCTCTTCCCCTTAAGAGAAAGGGACTTGCCTATCTGATTGGTGCCCCGGCGCCTGCCCATCTACCAGATTTTCTTGGGCTCCACAAGGCGGTCTGACAATCCAAATTCGCTGCCTTTTCTTTTTTAACCTTGGCCACTCCCTGCCGCAACGACCGCTTCCCTCCCCTTCTCTCCCACAACACAAAACCACCACCACCCATCGCAAACCTTGCAAAACCACTACGAAAAAACACCCCTCCTTTTTTTTTTTCTTTCGAGCAGAGATTTTTTGATCACGACTCGATTATCCGCCCTTCATACGTGAGTATAGCCTCTTTTCTTGGCCGTCGTCCATTGAGAGGGGGAAATCCCCCTCTTTTCACCAATTTGGGATATTATTCACTCGACTGGGATCCCGTCATCGACATCACCAAACCCCCCCCAGAGCTTGCCAGCTGTCAACCACAAATTCACCTCTTGTATCTGACGAAGGCGGCGCACACGCACCTCCATCTCCAACTTCCCCACATCGCGCACCGCACACACACGCGCACACACACATGCCACTTGCCCCTCCCCACGTCAACCACATTGCGACAAGCCGTCTTTCGCCTCCCAGATCTTTTTCCCTTCTCACACGAAAAGCTTGGCTCAATTCCTCCCCTCGACAAATCTCAACTCACCTCATCGACTTTGCCGTTATTCTAACGTCTTTCTTCCAGTTCTGAACAGTACCGTTACTACTCCTCACCAACCCAATATCAATCGCAATGGATTTCCAGGGATCTGCCGGCGCCCCCCAGGCTCGCACCTGCTTCACCTGTGAGTAGCCTTCCCAGCTTCAGCGCTCCTCCTCCCCCCCCCCCCGTCTCACGACTTTTCCAACCTACGCGCTGCTTTCATGCTTTTCAATTTTTTCCACTTTCGTTTCTGTGGGTGGCTTTGTGGCTTTCGGTATCAACTGCGCACCTTATTCCGAGATTTGGTTGCCATTGGTTCACCGAGGTCTCACCGCTTCCACCCTGAGCTTCTCCCGCCTGTCATTGGTGGCTGTTTCATTTATGCAGCTTGCCTCTGGGCCCCTTATTTCCGAGTTCACATTCCTGTGTCCACTGGATCTCGAGGTTGCTGGCAAAAGCTGGCGCTGGGGGCTCTATCAAGCAACTACATGACTTTTCGAGTTTGTGTTTGGTGGGGTCTTCTCGGCACGAAGCTGGAATTATCACTTGGAAGAAGGCCTGGCAAAGCATTGACGTTGGTGTAAATGCTTTGCCAGCTTCGCATTTCCGGACCAGATCTGTCAAAGAAGGCCGCGTGTATGCCCTTACTGCGTCGTCTTACTGACTCTGAGCTGGTGTGCCAGTGACACCTTGATCCTGCAATTCCCCCAAACGTCATCACAATTCATGAGCGCAAGAGTCTGACCAGAGATATTTAGGCGGTGCTGCTGGTCACCAGGTACGACTTGCTGGAGGATGTCAAGATTCCTAGCTTCCGACTTACTGACTCTGTGTAGGCCCGCGAGTGCCCTAACCGTGGCGCCGCCAAGTGGTACGTTGGCATGATCTCTATTACCCGTTGCTCCATACTAACTTTGACGTAGCTACAACTGCGGCAGTGAGTTTTGATGTATCTGTGTGTTGCCGACGAGATGACTGATTGACGTTTGCTCTAGACGAGGGTCACATGAGTAAGTTCTTCTCAGGATGTTCATGAGATCGTTGACTAACATGCCTCAAGGCCGTGACTGCCCCGAGGGCCCCAAGGACACCAAGTCCTGCTACCGCTGCGGCCAGGCTGGCCACATCAGCCGTGACTGCCCCCAGGGAGGCAACGTCGGTGGCGGTGGCCCCTCCAGCTCCGAGTGCTACAAGGTTCGCTTTGCCTTGCCTTGACCGCGATGTCTTTTGGTACTAATACGAAATAACAGTGCGGTGAGGTCGGTCACATTGCCCGCAACTGCCCCAAGGCCGGTGGCGGCTACGGCGGCGGCGGCGGCGGCGGCGGCGGCGGCTACGGTGGTGGCTACTCCGGCGGTGGTGGCTACGGCGGTGCCAGCCAGAAGACCTGCTACTCCTGCGGTGGATACGGCCACATGTCTCGTGAGTGCTTGGGATGATCCCCGGATGGACCACCTTGACATTGCTAACATACCACAAAGGCGACTGCACCAACGGCTCCAAGTGCTACAACTGCGGCGAGAACGGCCACTTCTCCCGCGATTGCCCTAAGGAGTCTTCCGGAGGCGAGAAGATCTGCTACAAGTGCCAGCAGCCCGGCCACGTCCAGTCCCAGTGCCCCAACAACTAAGTCTGCGATGACTATCGGTGATGAGTTGTCTGCCCTCCCGGTAGACTCGGTTTCGAGACAGTTCGACGGGTTCGAGGCCACCATGGCTCACTTTTGCGATATCAACTAGGCATTGCGGACGGATGCTTTGTACATTTCCTTCTTCTCTACGTCTTTTTTTCGTCTTTTCTTCCTTGCTCTCATGTTCTCACGGCAAACAACTCTGGGACTCGGCCCGCGGAAAAGTTTTACACGGACAACGGCATATGAATCACGGCTTTTTCTTAACGCACCAAGATACACCTTTCGCATTGGGTCCGTCAACAACCTCGGCAAAATGCGGGGTTTGGTTCGGATCGTTTGGATGACGATGGCACAGCAACGCAAAAGGGAGACACAAGCTTTTGCGCTGAACCTCTTCTCTGGTTTTTCTTTTTACGGAAAAAAATAACTGAGAGGAGGGGGAGTAAGCAGGCAGAGTGGGAGGGCCTCTTTTTTTGTGGGCCGGCATAGTTTTCGACCTCTGATAGACTTGGTCTTTCGTTGCAAATTGAGCAGTCTTGCGAAAGGAAATGGACTCTCAAAAGTAACGAACGACCTGGGCAGTGTGGGCCGTTCTAGGCGGTCATGGCTGTCGTTCAGGGCAGGGAATGGAAAGTTTGCGTCGTAACCTCTTGTGTTCTTTGCTCTGGTCCAGTGTCTGTTACAGTGCCCGTGATGTATGTCCGTCGCCCGTCTTGATGTAGTGGTTTAACAGTCCAAGCAGGGGGCTACGGTCATAAGTCAGAAGTTCTTTGTTCTGCCCACCGTATGAGATGGGGGGACGTTGACGACTGGAAAGACAAATGTTTCTGAAACTTGGGGGTAAGCGCGTCGTCTCAACGCTGGAAAGTCTCCCCGTTGTCAGACTCCGTTGGGTAAACTTTGGACGCCCGCGTTTGGTTTTTGACATCCGTGCTTAGGTGTCGTGGGTGGCCAACCAAGTATGTACATGTTTCTTGGTACTCCGTATAGTCGATGGCCCCCCTCTGGGGTTTGCCTGTTGAACCTGCATGAAAGACGGAAGGGGTCGACCGTGAGCCCCGAATTGTATTACCTCGACGACTAGGAAATGCTGTCAAGTGTGTTATACATAAGATACGCAAAAGATGGAAGCTATTCGATCCCTTTGAGAGAGAGCCCTGAAGGGGATGGTGAGAACAAAAACCGGAGACGGTGCCGTGACGGCGTCTCTGCCCCCTTCTCCGAAAAGAGCAAATCAAGCCCGGTTCGAAACGAAACCCTACTTACCTCCCGCAGTAGATGCCGGTTCTGAGCACAGGTAGGTCGTCTCGTCCCCGGTGTATATCCGAACTCTGTTGAAACTCACGAGAGGGATAAGGGTTGGGGAAGAAGGTTCAGGTCAGGATTGTCTTTGGAGCGTTAGAGGCTCTTTGACCGTCGAGGGGGAAAATGTGATCATCCAATGTCTTGTCCTTGTTCAAATGCCTCTTCATGGAAGAAAGTTTGGTGAAATTATTCCAGACTGATTCCTTTTACAGTACAGATATAGCTGACAAATTAAACCCCCCTTCTTCATCCTGTCTCCGTCTCTCGCACAAGGCGTCATCTCGGCCTGGTGTAGCGTAGCCTACCCCTTGGATGAGACGCAACGGGACACCGATCATCATACAACATGATATCCAGACCCCAAAGAGATTCCCCCTTATAACCTCGACTTAGGCATAAACTTCATAGCCTGCCTGACCCCCAAATCACCAAGCACCTCCTCCGCGCCACCAAGGATAGCATCAAACTTGTACGTGCGGTTAAACATCTCAATCACGCGGCCCATGCCCGTCCGCGTGAGCCCGCGGCCGCCCCAGATCTGGACAGACTCGTCGGCGATCTCGTGCGCGGCGCGGGTGGCGCTCATCTTGAGGAGGCCGATGGGTCCGCCGAGGTGTTTTGCTTGTTCCTTGTAGGGCATCGAGTTCATCTGGTAGGTAATCGTCTCGAGCCAGGATTGGTGGGATTCTACGAGGGCGATCATCTTTGCGAGCCTGTTGGGGGGAGAAGTGTGTAAGTGGGAGATCGCAGGTGAATATAGGGGGTGGGAGGGGGGTTGAGGTGCTTACTTCAGGCGGATAACGGGTTGGTCGATGAGACGCTTTCCGAAGACGAGACGCTGGTTTGCCCAGAGGAGACACTCTTCGACGACGGTTCTGCATTGGCGGATAGTGGCGCCTTGAAATATCACGGTCAGCTCGTTCTACCCCTCTTACAGCTAGGGTGGACGTGGCGTCCAGGGACGAAGACTTACAAGCCATGGTCCACCGCTCGTGGTTGAAGTTGCTCAGGATGACGTGGATACCCTTGTTCTCCTGGCCCAGCAAGTTCTCTACCGGGACCTTGACGTTGTCAAATGTGACGAAACCCGTTCCTGCGGCCGGAGAGTAGGATGTCTTGATAGGCCTGGTCTCAACCCCTTCGCCTCTCTCTATAAGAAGGACGCTAAGGCCCTTGTCTGTCTTCACGCCAACAACAAAAAGTCCGCAGTAGGTAGCGTTAGTAATCCATTTTTTTGTTCCATTGACGATCTATTCAATGGTTTAATTAGTAAATCATCACTGTGTGTTGTTGTGGTATTGTTGTGGTTGTGGTGGAGGGAGTCGTGATGGCTGCATGGGGTTGTGGTTGTGGCAGAGGCAGAAAAGGGTGGGAACAGAAAATGGTATACTCACATAATGTTTTCCGTCAGGTGTCTTTTCCGCAGTGGTTCTGATGCCTGCAACATCACTTCCAGCAAAGGCCTCGGTAATGGCTAAGCAAATCTTCTCTTTGCCGCTGAAAACTGAATCCGAGACGCGCTTGCGCAGCGACTCGGAGTTGGCAAAATTGAGAACGACCGGCAGGCCAATCGTCATGCCCGCAAGCATACCGTCCTGGAAACCACGACAGTTGGTCCTGGCCATTTCCTGGCTAAGAATCATGTCGTGGAAGTAATCAAACTCCTCGCCCTTGACAGCGCCGCCCAGGAGCTCCACGCCGTGCAGGTGTTTTCCAGGGCCGAGACGCATGTGCAGCACGCCCGCCTTAGACATCTTGTCAATGAGCTCTTGGGGGATGGTCTCGCCCTTCTCCTCGCACTCGAGGGCTACGGGGGTGATGTGCTCGTCGGTGAACTTGCGAATGGCCTTTTGCAGGGAGCGATGGGAGTCATTGAAGTAGGGGGACTTGAACTGTGGCGTGAGCCAGGTAGGCTCGGCGTAGGGCACGGGGGAGAGCTCGCCGGGGCCGGTGACGATGACCTGGGGTTTCTCGCCCTCGACGGTGCCGATGACGAGGGTCTTGTCGTACTTTGTGAGGACATCCTGACGATGGAGGTTGTAGAACTGGGTTGTGGCATCCTGGCCTGCGACCTGACGGAGAACGGCCTCGCCACCGGGGTGACCCATGGCGAAGTCGGTCAGGTCATAGACCTTGGAATCGATGATGCACCAGAGGGAGTCCTCCGTGTTGTTCTTTGCGACCTCATCGCGGGAGAACGTCTTTGCGGCCATGGTGGGCGTTTTGGAGTTCGTGCTTGGACTCTTTGTTACTCGAACTAACGGGGGACAATCGATGGGACAAGCTATGGCGGTCTGGCAGTCGAGTTGTAGGTTCGATTCGTTTACGTGGTATGGATGTCCGTCGAGGTAGGAAGGGGAGTTGGAGTTCGCTCGTCAGAGTGCGGATTCACGAGGATAAGAGAGAGTCTGAGCAGGTCGCAGCGGCGGTCTGGCCACTTTAGTTGAGGAGGCAGTGCGTCTTTCGGATGACATCGGTCTGGGGGGAATGGACTGCGTCCAGCCATGTTTGGAAATGGTGCCGCGAGCCTCGGCTCTTGTGGAGCGTGGGCGACCTTCCGGGTTTGTGCTGATATTCGGCGGAGCTGTGATTGGACGGCGGGAGGCTGGGGAATGAAGCGGCGTCTGGGGGATGGCACTTTAGCCTGGCCGGGGGGGCAGCGGGGAGGATGTCGAAATGTTGACTAGGCCAGAAGCTTTCCATTGTGTTTGCACTTTCGGAGTCTACCGCGGCCTTTGTTGATTAATCACCCTAGCGAAACCAAGAGACCCCTAATAGAAATTGACTTGCCGTTTGATGGGAATCTTGAGAGAAAAAGTTGCTGCGAAACTTGGCTCCAAAGTAGACATGGTCGCTGGTTGAGACGTCTGAAAGACTGCGCGACGCGACAGAGCCCCCCCCCCTGTTGATGCTCCCCACAAAGGCGGGAAAGCTTTTACCCCGCAGAGGGGCCGTCTCCCCCGTACAGTTGCATCTCTCAATTCAATATTGAGATTCCGAGGTTCGAGGTCCCCTTTTCAGTAAACAGAAAATCAGCCAAATCTGTTCACATAGGGCTGCCTGACCACGCACGATAAGGCCTCACAGGTATGTGGTGTCGATACTGCAGCCTCCCAGATAAAGTGATCAAGGACGTGTATGTTGTAACTCGTGGCTTAGAGAGATCTGCCCCCGAGCTCTCAGAGTCTTGAGGAGTTCCTTGGTTCTGATCAGACGGCGAACATTACGCTGACCTTGACATCAGACCATGCGAATAATTTTCACCAACATCGGACTGTCGTAGGTAGGCGAATATATCCATCGTGAATATCTTTTGTCCAGCTGCGTACAGTAGACACGAGTAAGGCTGCTTTTTCCTACTTGGCTGGTCCCTGGCTCTTCATGGCGTGATCTCATCCCAGCACATCGGTCCAAGCCGGTTTCTAAGTACGACTCGGATCATACGCAAAGTTAAACATGGCTAGTGCAACCACAACATGGGCTCTCGCCCAGAGTGGAAGAATGACGTCCACAGGCTTTGGGATGCCGTATCCTTTGCTAGTTGTAAGGTGCATCCGGGCCCATCGGGATATCTCCAGAGTCCACAGGACCAGTCCGATTCTTCAAGCCCATTGACTGAGAGAGCCTTTGGTGTTGATGTCGATGACACCGTTTGCTTTACTCACTGCCAGCTCCTGACACTTTTCTCCAATAGCAGTCACAAGTTTAGTTGACCACAAGACGTTGCCGACGCCATATAGGACATCAAAAAGACCTGGGACATCGTCCGATGCTTCTTGTAGGAACGCAAGCCGCAAAAGATACCTGACGTGATGCTGCCAAGAAAAGCCGTTCCGAGTATGCTAAATATAACGGCATGAAAGTGCGTCATGTTTGCTCCCGCAGTAGTTTCGACCACAAACCATCCTAGGAGCAAGTGGGAGGCGACAATGGCCAGAGCGTGTCTCAAAAGTCATGCGGCTGTCTCGAAGTTGGTCGTCCACAGCCGCCTCAAGTCTAAGGAGCGGGAAGTGGACCGGAGGGCGGAGTAGACTCCCCGCCACGGCTTCGATCAGGCCGGTCACCCTGTTCCGGCCCTCCCCGGGTCTTATCGAACGGGGAACCGACGAGGAAGACTGATGCTAGAAATTGGCCCCGGAAGATATTGTTGCAAGAGTTCAACTCGGTTGCTTTCAACAGAGGGCCCAGGACGAAAGCGACAATATGAATCAAGGTGTCGCGCTGCAGGTTGACCACGTCACTGTGTGAGATATCTATATTTGTGCCGTATTTGTGCGATGCGACAACTAGAGTTCATTTAGAGTCGTGGCGGTGGAAGCGAAAGAGGTTGAGGGCTTCGAGTGAGTTTATGACACAGACAACCGGCAACCACCTTGAGGCACAAGCCCCATTCCGAGGGGAACCCGCAGATCTTCCCGCACGGTTGGGTTGCCGTGTTGAAGACGAGGGCGACGAGGGCTCAAAAGGCAGATTGCCATGACAGGTGATTCTCCGAAGCGTCGGTAGATGATAGTGGCTGAGGTGGCTGGCTGTCATCTTGCGACTTGCCGGCACCGGTGTGCACTAGGAGAATGCAAAGAGGACGAGCGATGATGGCCGAGGCATCGTGACCTTGGGGATGAGGCTCTGTCTGGTACTTGGCTGGGCCCGGCAAGTGGGAAGGGAGATTGGTTATCCGTACTCCGTACACGGTAGGTAATAGAAGGGACTCTGCCCGTACTTTGTAGAAGATGGCATGATCGGCGGGATTTTGACCTAGGCGCGTCAGCAAGGCCCCCCGATTGGGCGTGTTGGAGGGCCTATCAGCATCAGGTGTGGCTCCTTTGAGGAAAAGATGCCGCAAGTTGGATGCTGGCACTTGGCACTTTGTTTGCTGTCAAGGTAGGTAAGAAAGCTTGAGGGTATCGTCGGCTCCTCTTATTTGCAGTTTCAGTACGTTTCCTGGCAGAGCATCGAGTCAGTTGGTCGGCATCGTGACAGGGTGGGCATAACAGAACGTGTGTCAGTCGACGAGAGGTAGGCTGGCGGAGAGGGATGTGGTGACTTGGTGAGTCTGTGACAGGTGGAAGGGGAGAGCATGGATTCATGGATGGAGATTAAGGTGGAGGAATGACGCTGTTGGTGGAGAAGGAGCAGTGAAGTGTCACCGGTCCCAAAGAGAAATGCCCCTCCTTCTTTTTCGTCGTGTTCCACCTTCCCAAGCACCGTGGCACCCTACTCGTGCCTACCTTGGCTGGAAGTATTGATTCTGCACCCACTTTCCCTCATTCTCTGATTCTCTACAAAGCAGTTTCTCTTCACCTGTGCTCCGTAAGGCAAGGTAGATACGGAGTAAGATATCAGAAGTACCTTGGTCCTTCCCTGCTCAAACGTAATGTAGGTACAGCAGCAAAGTACCTCAGCATTCCATTTCTCACGACACTTTTGCGCCGTCGACGGGCTTCCCAGGTTCCACCGTTTCCAGTTCCACCGCACACCAGCACAACTTTCATTATCCGATCCCGCCCTTTCCTGGCAACTGGGATCTAACCCAAAAGACCCAGCCAGAAAGACCCTGAACGCCCAGGTTCACTGCCAAAAAATTTCATGACGGGAGCTGCAGCTCACCGAAAATCCAAACTGGTCCCAGATCAGCAACATCAACCTCTTCCCACATTCTCTCTCCCGGGCCTCTCTTTCTTTGTCCCTTCCTGGGCCTTTCTCGTCTGCCTCTGCGCCTCCGTCTTCGTTTACGCCTACGCCCGAGTCCCTCGTTCTTCTCTGCCTCTGTCCTTCGTTATCCCGCATGATATCGAGGCTTAGCGCGCGCGCAGTCTCCCCCGCCCGATCGCTTATTGCATTGTAAGTTATCACCGTCGATGCCGATGCTCTCCTTAGAATCTTATTCTCCCTGCCCTCTGCTCTGCCTCTCCAGTTCCTCAGTTCAGTTCTTAGTTCTCTCTTTGCCACCCCCCTCGTTTTCCCGTTACACAAACACGAATATGCCCTGCGTCGCCTCCCAATGGAATACCTGGCATGGCCAACCGTCACCTCTTCCCCGCGGAAAGCCTCAGGAGCGATGGCGCCGCTGAACCAGTCGAGCGTCAAGCGTCAAGCGCAATTACTTTCCACGTGTTGGTGGCTCAATTATAGGCTGAGCCAAATTGCGAAAGGCGTTCCGTCGGAGCATAACGGCGCCTACACCCCCAGCTATTTGGAGCATCTGTTACGCCGTTTCTACGCGAGCCTAGTCGGCGACAGCCCCGAGTACTTGTTACTGCCAGTGCCTCGAGAGGGGAAAGATGACATGGAGGTGTAGTTGGGAGTTGCTGTGTGTTGAACAGCATCTGCATGACAACCTTTGTCGGAAGAAAAGGATCATAGTGGTTTTTGGCAAGCTGCGGATTCTGGAATGGCAAACATGTCCCCCAGTCATCTTCCTTCCACCACCTTCTCCGTCCGATGCACCTTTCAAGTCTTTCACGAACCTGTTCGGCCACGCAAGGTATTACTATCACCTCCAATCGGTACTACCTTATGTGGCGCACACCTTGGCTCAATCAAAGGCACTTCCGTCATCAACATGGGGAGCCCGTCACCTTCACCATACCTTATCTGGACTTTCCTCGCGCTTAACCTTCCCGGCCGCTGCACCCAGATCCACGGGTCCTATATATCGACTTTGCCACCCTGGATCCTGACCCGAACGTCTTAGCCGCTACGAGCAAGATATTTCACCACGTTCTTACCCCATTCTCTTCCCCACGGTCGTTCTGCTGCCTCCTCCGCCTGACCTCTTCTCTCAACCCTCAAGACCGCAATAGCTCCTTTTTCTCCGTCTCACTCAGTCTGGGGTTTCCCCAAACCCATCCGCAGGCCCGCATCCTGTGACTTCACTTGTTTCCACTGTGGATTAGCATTCAACCGGCAGCGTTGCGGCTTAGTTCGCCCGCGCTCTCCCCCGTTTGATCGACTTCCGTGACCAGATTATCAAATACTACTACAATACCCTCTCTCTCTCTCTTTCTTTGCATTTCCTCGGATACTTGCCGCCATGGACGCTTACTCAGTCTCTTACACCAGCCCTACCAACCGGAGTACATCCCGCATTTACCAGGATTTAGAGACCTGCCGAGCCCAGAGCCTCTTTGGGTCCGGACAAGACAAGCTGTTGATCAGATCGCTGACCATGGACTCACTTCTGCGGGTAAGTCTGCTACTGCTTCTTGTCTACCACGTGCCCAACGTTGTTAGTGGGACGCTTCGGGCCGGGGCCACCGACTGTCTGTTCTGATGGGCGAACCCGCCTGATTCTTACCACGACCGTACCTTTGATCTATTATATGCATCTCAGTGTACAAGACAAAAGCCACATGTCATGTTTGTCCAGGCAGTTTACTCCTGACACGTCACAGCGCAAACAATCAGAGTCGGGTCCAAAACCTCACATTGCTGTCATCGGTGCTGGCCTCGCCGGTCTGCGCTGCGCTGATATCCTAATTCAACATGGCCTGCTGGTGACCATTATCGAAGGCCGAGAACGACTTGGAGGACGTATGTTCCAGGAAACACTACCCAATGGCCACACTGTAGACCTCGGTCCCAATTGGATCCATGGCACGGACGACAATCCCATCAATGACTTGGCCAAAGAGACTGGAACTGCCGTGGGCAGCTGGGATCACCGTTCGTATGTGTTTGATGATTCAGGGAACTTGTTTAAGCTGGATGAGAGCGAAGTCTACTCGAGTTTGATGTGGGACATTGTCCAGGACGCCTTTCAACACTCGAACAAGAACACGGCCAGCATACACCCCGATGAGAGTCTCTGGGACTTCTTCCAAGAAAGAGTAGTCAAGAAAATTCCCGACAATGAGGAGAATTTCGCCGAAAAGCGGAAAACCGTTCTCCAGATTGCAGAGCTCTGGGGCGCTTTCTCTGGCAGCCCAATCACGACCCAAAGTCTCAAGTTCTTTTGGCTTGAGGAATGCATAGATGGAGGTAAGTGTTTTCTGACGTGGAGTCTTAATAGACTTGCATGGTTCGCTGTGATGGTAGCTGCAGCTGACCTATGGAAGAAAATCTGTTCTGCGCCGGTACATACGAAAAGATTTTCGAGCGAGTTGCAGAGCCCGTGAGGCACAATGCCGATGTCAAGTACGATACTATCGTTACCAAGGTGGAGCTCAAAACATTGGAGCGTCCGAAGCCCAGGGTTCACACCAACACTGGTGAGGTTTTGGAGTTTGACGACGTCGTCATGACGGCACCCCTGGGCTGGCTGAAGAAGAATCTTGAAGCATTCGAACCGCCATTGCCGGAGAGACTCGAGCGTGGAATCCAGGCCATTGGATATGGATGCCTGGAAAAGGTATACATCAGCTTTCCCAAAGCGTTTTGGCTTGAGCCCGACGCAGAGGGTCGCGTGGTGCAGGGCTTCTGTCAATGGCTTGCGCCAACATACACTCAAGAGACCAACCCGAAGAGATGGAACCAGGAGATTGTTGATCTTGCCTCGATGGGCGAGCATTCGCACCCAACGCTCTTGTTCTACATTTTCGGAGAGGAGTCCAAGTTCATTACGGAAGGAGTGTCGAGGTTGAAAACGATACCAGAGAGAAACTATTTCTTGTACGACTTCTTTAGGCCTTACTACTCCCGGCTACCACACTATGACGAGAACTCGCCCGATTGCAAGCCGACGGGAAGTCTGTCGACGGACTGGCTGCGAGACGATCTGGCTGGCAATGGCAGCTACAGCAATTTCCCAACGGGACTGTCGGAGGGCGACAAGGACATTGAAGCGATGCGGGAGGGCGTACCGGAAGGCGGTCTGTGGCTGGCGGGCGAACACACGGCGCCGTTCGTGGCGCTAGGGACGGCGACGGGAGCCTACTGGAGCGGTGAGAGCGTCGGCCGAAGGGTTGCCGAGGCCCACGGACGGGCGAGCAGCAAGACGCCAGAACAGGACCAGTAGCTAGAGCGCCGATTGTCGCCATTGCGGTCAACCCAGCCAACGGAGCCGTCTCTCGGTCAGCCATGATTGTGGTGGCATGGCTCGGGATTGGGCGAATCGTAAGGCGAATCCTGCATGGTGGGTGATGGGTGGGGGGAGTAGTTGGTGTCTTGCATTCTGGCCAGGGTCAGTCACTCTGCCGAGGGCCTTTGTGCTGCGTTCTCTTTGTTGTAGATGAGATGACCACGACGATGACGGCCGTCATTTGATTCTTCAACGACTATTTACAATGAGTATAATATTTTTTTTTTCTTAGGGCGAAGAGCCTCAACACTGCTATCCTGCATTCATCCCCGCTTGGGGAAATCTTGGAAAGACTTCTTACGTCTGGATTGCATATCTGAGCACTGATGGTCTGAAACAATGTCACTCAGGTAAAATAGGCTGATGTGACAGACACTTTCCAGACCAGACCGTCCTCCGCCTTTGTTGTCTGCTCCTTGTTGATCCGAGTCTTGTAATGGGGATTGTGTTGAAATTGGCTAAGACAAGTTAGACAACTTGATGGCTGGTGGAATGTGGGTCTGTCATTCTCTCATGACAACTTCACATGCAGATGAGTCTCTGAGGGAAAGACAAAGTTGTGTACATTTAGGTACTGTACGTAACCCCAACACTGTCTGACCTATGTATATATGCCTGGGCTACTATATGAGAGATAGCTGCCATAATACTACAAGAAATTGCAGAGCACATAGAACAGTTGTCCTCATGGAATGGAATGGATGAGTCCGGACAGTCAGGGAACATGTCAGTGGGTGAAGTTCTTGTGTAGTTGAAGTCATCTTTGGTTATTCGTGTTTGGTGTTTGAAGACAAGACAAAGAGGTACGTACCGCGATGTGAGAATACCTAAGTACCTATGAGATCGAGGCGAGCAACGGGAGGTGTGGCGGGTTCTGCATCAATCAGGTGGAACGGACGCGCAGGTCACTGCACCACCACGGAGGGGACATTCCTCACAGTCACAGGTGATGGAGCCCCTCCCCTCCCCTCCCCCTCTCCAGTGCCCACCTCACTGAGGTGGTCCTGAATGCCCCCAACATCAAACCGTCCTATCGGCTTCAGCCACGGTCATTCCTCTCCCCCCTTGTCTACCTTACCTTATCGATAAAGGCCCATTTTGGAGCAAGTCAACTGATAGAGGACCCCTGCCACACCCTGTCGGTTGACGGTGACGTGAACTCAGCCAGAGTCACGCGCTGTTAGAGGCAGTGGGGGGGGGGGGGGGGGGGAACCAATCTTTAGTGCATTTGCTTGGCTGGGAGTGAGTGACGGGAGTGACCTGGATGCCTGTGTCCCGCCTTTCCTACTCCTCATTGCTCATGCTTCGTTGTTGCTCATGCTCTCATGCATGCTTTTTGTCCAGACCTCCTTTGCCTCCCATCTGTACATGTACAGCCCAGTCAACAGTCTGTCTACCTTTTGCCTCACCTTGCCTTACCTTAGTCACGGTTTTGCCTCATCACAACGTCCGGGCATCAATGACCTATCTGCCTTAGGTTTTACTCTTCTGTCACCACCACCACCACCACCACCACCACCACCACCCGTTGCCGCTGTCCAAGAGCACACCAAGGTCTCCTCCTCTGTACCTTACTCTTCTTGGGGTTCCATCTGCATTTGCCTTTGCCCAACTAAAGCGCTTGGGTCCAACCTTGAACTACCTGACACCTTCTTGTCCTTCTTGTTTCTTTTTTCCCTTGTACATCTCCGACCTCTTTGATTCCGCCTCTCCGGCCCCCGTCGGCCTTTGCCTCCTCACTTGTACCTAGTTTCCACTTCACCCACGATCTATCTCGACATCTGAACCTCCGTCGTACCGAAACCTTTCTCTGGATGACCAGCACACCATGAACAACGTCCCCGCCTTGGGCAGGGTGTCTTTTGATAACACGGCGATTACAGCCTGCAATACCCATGCCCGGTGAACCGCAGCGTATTGACCCTCCGAATTCGCTTGAAGACTAGCGCAGCTTTCTACTTCCTCCAGCCTAAGGACCATATTCGGGCCAACCTACTGTAACTTTGAGGCTATCCTCCTCCTCCCTTACACCTCCGAGACCCCCAAGCCGATCGATAAACCACGGGCTACCGTCGCTCTTCTCCCCCCAACCGAGCAACCCACCGAGGGTTGCGAACACCGAGCTCAACATGGCGACGATATTCCAGAGCTTCAGGAGCTCGACTCTGTCGAAGCGCCTCCTCATTTACGCCCTGCGACGTCTGGAGCTGTTGGACGAGGAGACGCTCGACATGGAAAACCTGCAGTTTGCGCTGGGCAGGACAACAACGGCCGAGTTCAAGGATGTCGGAGTGCGCCTCAAGGTATGTCCCGTCTCACAGCCGGCCGCTTGATTGAGGGTCATGACCAAGTCGGAGGACTAACAAGATCCTTGCGTACCCTCTAGAAACTCGAACGACTTCTCCAGCTCCCCGCTTCGTTCCAGGTCCAGAAAGCCAAAGTGCTAAAACTCAACGTTACCATCCCCGTCGACTTTTACACGAGCCCTATAATTATCGAAATCGACGGTGTCGACGTCCGGTTGAAGGTGTCAACTCTCGGCGACGACAAAAAGACAAAGCCCGCAGCGAGGAGTGACGATACTCGGGGCCTGCCGAATACGGTCAACCTCGCGCAGTCGTTCCTGAACGAAGATGCGGCGCTAAAAGATGCGAAACTTGCCGAAGAGAAGAGGAGGTTGGAGGACGCCCTTGCGGCCGAGACACAGGATCTGGGCGGTTCCACAATGAGCGAAAGTTCGATGAGCGACGATGGAAGCCAGTTCGGTACAGGGCAGCCGTTGTCCCTGCCGGGATTCCTGGCCGGTTTCCTCCAGGGCATCGTCGACCGCATCCAGGTGCGCATCCGAGGGGTCACATTCCAAATGGATGTCGAAGTCCCCCTCGAGCCGAACTCGACAACGCCGGAGCTCGTCACTTTCCAGCTCGCGTTAGATCGCATAGATGTTGAAGGTGTCACCGCGGAGGCGCACAACGACGAGGGTGCGCCGACGATTGTGCCGAAAGATGGGAAGCGGCACATTGCGTTGTCCAAGATACGTGCCTATTTGATTTCGGAGGCAACTGTATTCTCGCAGTTTGCACGCTCTCCGTCCGTCTCATCTCCAGCCGTTTCTCAGTCACCATCTTTCGGCGAGCGCACCTCGGCATCAAGACACAGTACCTTTCGACCGACCATGCAGGAGAGCTTCCTCTCTGATTCTGCAGACTTGTCCGAGGTTGACGATGCGTTATTGCAGGACAGCGAAGAAGCGTTCAACATCCCTTACGATTTCTCGAGTCAACCAGAGGAACAAGTAGAAGAGGAGGAACCGACAACGCCTAGAGCCTCGATATATCAAGAATTTTCTCCTCAAAGACACGTTCCATTATCCCAGTCCACTATCCAAGGAGACGAAGATGGGCCTGTACCGTGGGCCAGTTTCCAACGAGAAGCGAGGTCAGAGCCGTCGTTACAATCAGCAGACAATGACATGCTGAATGATGTGGGTGACTTCGGACCTACGGAGGCGTTGCAGCAATCCGTTGCAGCCCCTCAGAGCTCGAGCTCTGGCGAGGTAGATGATCTGGCGCAATCTCACGTTTTTACGCACGAAGAAGCCGAGAGCATGTACATGAGTGCCTTTTCGCAGGCCGAGCCATCTGGATCGCGGATGCCAGGAGGGTGGGATGCAGATCCGAGCCCAGAAGCCTCTCCCAAGCTGAAGAAGTCGAGCCCCGTGCCTAGACAACACACAGCGCCAGCATTCGAAGCAGCTCCGAGTATTCCTGAGTCCAAACCTCTTGATAACATGGAAGCGCCGGCATCGCAAAGGTCTCAATCGCCGCCTCCAACAGATCAGGCCGATCCTGGATTTGAGGATGCAAAGGAGCCGCCATGGACGAGTTTCACAAGGGATGAGTTCGCAGATGCGCCAGCACCGGCCGACGACGTGGCAACCCCAAGAGGACCGACGAGACTGGTCAAAGAACTCGTTTCTCTACAAAACATTTCCCTCTACGTTCCATCGCTGCATCAGCATGCACATGTGCCAGCCGATGCCCAAGCCTCCATTTTGAGCCAAACACCAGGCTCACCTGGCCTGGCGAGATCAGTCGCGCCTCAGCTTCCCGGGGCGTTCTCAGTGTATTCTCCTCCGTCGGCATCGAGGTCGGGCTTTGCGCCAATGCCAACCGAGCTTCCCTTCGCCGAGCCAGACAATGATGGGGCGCTGGAGGTTCTTTTGTCGCCCTTGGAAATACGATTCGACGCTTCACTGGCATATCTGCTTGCGGCCGTGGCTGGAAAGCTGTTGGATGCACTGAAGAGTAAAGACGGTCCTGCCCCTGCTCCAGCTCCAAAGACGGCTGCAAAGTCACAGCAGGAATCAACGATGCCCGATATCAACGTTGTGTTTGAGAAAATCTCACTTCACTTCCTCCATCAACTGGGCGGTGTTGCCGATACGGCGGAAAGAATACTGGGCTCCCCTGGTTTGCAGATGCAACCTGAGATTCTCCTCCGAACGGATCTCGATAAGCTCAACGTATCACTCAAGTCATCGCAGAAGGGTCTAGAAACGACCGTAGATCTCGAAAAGTTCCGCTTCGGCTACGCGAGGGACGACATCATCTCATTCGACCAGAGCCTTCAGATGAGGGCCTCTGTTATGGACAAGTTCCCTTCAGCCGGCTCCGACGTGACTGTGAAGGTGGTCAAGTCGGCCGACTCAATTCGGACAGAAGTAACTACTTTACCACTACTGATACAGCTCGATTTACAAAGACTGGACGAGACATTCAGTTGGTTTGGTGGCTTGAGCAGTTTCCTTAACATGAGCTCCTCGATGTCATCGAATGCTTCGCCGTCCGTCAGAGCGCCGGTACAACCACCTCCCAAACCCCGAGGAGTTCGGTTTGACGCCCCAATCAACCCGGATGACAAGTCGGCCTCGGCAGAAAACAAGATTGATATGCGGATAGGCGGCTTTAATCTCGAACTGAAGGGCAGAGAGTGCAGCGTTGGATTGGAGACGAGTGCGGTCAAGATGGTGAGCCGAGATTTGGGAATCGGCTTTGCAATCAGCAAAGTTCGCTTGGCAGGGCCGTACATAAGGAATTCCCGAGCAGAGCCGCCCATTTCGGCCGAGATTGGAGGTGTACGGTTCGAGTATCTCGCAACGCCAAAAGACAAGGACCTTGAAAGGCTCCTCGAACTCATCATCCCATCCAAGGTCAAGTTCGACCAGGGTGATGATGAGATTATGGTGGACACGCTCC